CTTGTTAGAGGATGTAGCTAATAAACATAGCTGGATTGAATTGGCATTGTCTCTTGGAGTTTCTTGGGCTAGGCCTGACAGTTAGGTGATAAGAGAGAAAATGCACATGACAGAGAACATAATTCTCTTCCAGTTTTGAATAGTGTAGACTGATGCAAAATTTAAGAGGTTACTTTTCATTAAGCATAGGCCAAATGGAAAGGACCAAACTGAGATTTGTCCATACCCTTCAGGGAATCCTGTTAACTTTCCTGTGTCTTATTTATTTATTTTTTCCTTCATTTAGTTCCACCATTACCTGCAGCAAGTCTCCTTTAACAACAGTGCTGGGGAAGAGGTTTCTTTTAGTCCAAAAGGGGAATTAGTAACTAGATTTGATATTTTCAGTTGGGTGACATTCTCAAACAAGTCCTTTCTGAGAGTCCAAGTTGGAAAGATCGACCCCATGACTCCCTCAGACAATTTTCTCACCATTTCTTCCAAGGATGCTGTTTGGCCCCACATATTTAACCAGGTGTGTCTCATTTTTCAATTTTTAGGAAATTATTTAGCCACTGATCCATGTACTGTAAGTAAATGATTAAAAACAACAACAACACTTGGATTAAGCTATTTAGCAGCCTCAGACTAATGTTTTCTTTTGGATGTGATATGAACATAAACTACTAAAGTAACAGAGGTGGCTTAAGGTTTCTATATCCATGAAATAATATTTCCTTAGTTCCAATGCAAAGCTATCTTAGTATGCAGGATGTTTCTAACTACATTAATAAAATAATGACACTCTAGAAAAGTATATAGCTTAACAGAAACAAACCATTTACTGAAACAAAATGGAAATATTTTTAAAAATGGCACATGCATGGTTCATGATTTTGTCTCCTTAGAGTTAAATTTTTAATAGCTTCCTCTGAAATAGATGAAATAGGGAACAGAAACTGTGTTTTTGGAATATATTCCAAAAATAAAGGAGATTCTATTTGTCTATCTAGGTAATTAGTTATGCTAATCCAAGTGGAATAATATGATTACATACTTTCCAGAATTTAAATGGGTTTCCAGAAATAGCCTGCAGAAACTCTGTTTATGAAATATATTTCAAATGTATATCAAATTATATTGAAATATATAATTCAAAAACAAAGAGTTTCTGCTGGAGATTCTATCTATCTATCTATCTATCTATCTATCTATCTATCTATCATCTATATTTTTGTCTATCTATCTATCTATCATCTATATTTTTGTCTATCTAGCTATCTATCCAAAGTGCAGCACCATTTCAAATATGATTGGACACTATCTATAAAATTCATTAAAGAGGAGAGGCAAAACATATGTTTTTTTTCTAAAAATAAAACAAACTAATCAGTGAGGGGAATATGACACAAAAAAACTTCTTTCTTACCTCTTTCTACATTTCTAAGAATTCTAAAGTTGATTTAGAAATGACATTATATCCCAATTCAGTCTAATAATTCCAGAGAATCATACCCACAACATTCTTGAATCTGTGGACAAAAAGGAACTCTTTTACTCATTGGTGAATGTGCCCTAAAGTAAAGATCTTTTGGAAACAGGTGAGTGAAGGAATGTTATTATCTGCAAACATTAAAGAAAAGATCAAACTCCATTTCTTTTCAATCTGCTCCAAGCTTCAAACAAACAAAGAACGCCCCAAAAAACAAAGTAATTCTGCTAGAAATTATTGCCACCTTGACAATAGCTCAGTTTTGAAAATCAAATTGTTGCCATGAAAAGTTCACAAAAGTTTAAATAAATAATTTACAGTATCAATGGAAAAGTCAAGCAAACTTTGAAAGCACTTTGGTAAAACTACAATCCCCACCAAAAAAAAATGGAACCTCAAGGGGAGCATATTCCAAGGGCTCCAGAGTTAAAAGCTCTCCCAAACTAGTGTCTGGTATTGATTTCCCTGGAACAGATCTTTACAATACCATGTTTGGCATGATCACTTCGTTTGTGTAATTGGTGTGAGATAAGGAAGAGTCAAGGAATTCAATGGAGAATTTAAACCAGAAAGAAAACTGAAAAATCGAACACCAAGATTTGGATTAGATATGAATAATTTGTGAATGTATAATTGGTGAAAGAACAATTCTGAAATGTAAATTCTTCATGTGAAAAAATTCCAATTTTATTTATGAACAGACATTACCTCTCTCCATCTGTAACAAGAAATGTCCTTTTGGCCATAGCAAGATAAAAATGGAAGGGAAATTATCTTGCTGCTATGACTGTAGACTGTGTCCAGAAGGGAACATAGCTGACCAAATGGGTAAGCAATAGAATATATTGAATATATCAATGATTGAATAAATATAAATGGGGGCTGGACTTTGAATCAATATTATGGTGATTGAAAATCTTGAGCTTCACATCATATTGTACAGGTCAGCAATGAAATATTTGAACTAATTGTTCATAGTTCAGTAAGGTAGTTGATGATAAAACAAATCAGTTCACTCTAACTAGGAGGATCAATAGATTTCTCAGATTTGGATTGTCTCTTCTTAATTTTCCTTAAAAAATTATAAACAGTTTTACAGGAAACTAATGTGTGTTGGTAGACTATCCAAAAGGCTTCCTTTGTACCTTCTTTTTGGAAGTAAAGGAAACTTTGCAATGGTAATGTTTTTTCACTGGTTTCTACTTCTTTTTACTTCCTATTCTACCCAGATGTATTGACTGATTGATTGATTGATTGATTGATTTACTTATGGAACTTATACAGCTGCCTATCTCATATAATGATCCTAGGTGCCTCGCCACAACCCATAAAAACATGAATAAAAACAAAACCACCCATCCCATCAGGCACAGGACCAATCAGCCTCCTGACTCAACCCCCATTCTAGCCCAACACTTTGGGGAAGAGCCAGGTCTTCCTAGCCTACTACAAGGATAAAAGGGCAGGGATCCTTGAAATTCAGATGGGAAAGTATTGCAAAGGGCTGGGGCAGCTACAGAGAAGGTGCCCCTCCAGAGTCCCATCAGATGACAACATTTAATGGAGGAGACCTGGAGCATGCCCACCTAGCTGACCTATTGGGACAGGCAGATACTTAGAGAGATATGGTCCCACCAATAATTTAGCTGGTGACATTTAGGGCTTTAACGGTGATAACCAGCACCTTGAATTAAACCCAGAAAACAACTTGGAGCCAGTGCAGCACATGCAGCAGTAATGTAATTCAGGTGAGCCATGGAGTACCCAGAACTGCACGTGCCATTGCACTGTGGACCAGATACTGTGTAAATGTTCTTAAAGGGTAGCCTCATGTAGAGTGCATTCCAGTAATCTACTTGGGAGCTCACTAAGAGATAACTGTAAAAATCAGGACATATTGAAAAGGAACTGATGATGCTTTGAAACAATAGTGTTTCTATGAATGGTTTTCTGGTTTGTTTCTTTTTTTCCAGACTTAGATGATTGTTTCCCATGTCCAGAAGATCAATATCCAAACAAGGATCGGGATAGTTGCCTTCAAAAAACCATAACTTACTTAAGTTATCAAGAGCCTTTGGGGATTTCTTTGGTAGTGATTGCAGTGTCCTTTTCTTTCATCTCAGCTTTGGTGCTGGGGATCTTCATTAAACATCAGGACACTCCCATCGTCAAAGGAAATAACAGGAATCTCACTTTTACCCTTCTCATTGCTCTCCTCCTCTCCTTCCTTTGCACTTTGCTCTTCATTGGACAACCTGACCAACTGAAATGTCTCATGTGACAAACGGCTTTTGGCATCATCTTCTCTGTAGCTCTTTCTTGCATATTGGGGAAAACAACCATTGTTGTTCTTGCTTTCATGGCCACCAAGCCAGGCTCCAAAATGAGGAAGTGGGTGGGGAAAAGCCTGGCTATTTCTATTGTCCTATCTTGCCCCCTAGCACAATTTTCCATTTGTGTGGGGTGGCTGGCAATTTCTCCCCCATTCCCAGATTCTGACATGCACTCCATGATTGAAGAAATTGTGCTGCAATGTAATGAAGGTTCAACCACAATGTTTTATGTTGTCCTTGGCTTTATGGGGTTCTTGACTGCTGTCAGCTTTACTGTGGCCTTCCTAGCTAGGAATTTACCTGACAGCTTCAATGAAGCCAAATTTATCACCTTCAGCATGTTGGTCTTCTGCAGTGTTTGGGTGTCCTTTGTTCCCTCTTATCTGAGCACTAAGGGGAAATACATGGTGGCTGTGGAGATCTTCTCCATTTTGGCTTCAGCAGCTGGATTACTGGGCTGCATCTTTTCCCCCAAATGCTATATCATTATTCTGAGACCTGATCTGAATAAGAAGGAGCAACTAATAAAGAAATGAAAGTGATTTTTATAGCAGACCCCCTGAATAAAGCCAAATTGCTTACCTTTACCACGTTGGTTTCTTGCAGTTTGGGGTTCTGCATTCTTTCCTCATATCAGCAAATCAAGGTGATGTAAAGGCAGTAGCGGTGACAATCTCTTCCAAGCTCACTTCAGAACCTAGAAAACTGTTCCTCACCTTTTCTTTGAAATATTAGATAATTCATCTGAGCCCTAATCAGAGTAGAAGGGAATAGCTAATCAAGAAGACAATGCTGTGTGAAAACCAGTTTTTAATGTCATAATGTGCATTAATCTCAAAATAAAAGGCTTTGTGTCCTACAGCCTATGAGTTTCACAACACCCCTGCCTAAAAAGAAAGAAAAACCCTCCCAATATTCTCCACGAACATTTTTTAAAGGTAGAGGAAAATCCCCACTAATATCCCCTGCCTTAAATCTGAAAATCTGAGAGCCACTTGGGTGTAGTGGGTAAACTGCTGGGCTAAAAATGGGGAGACCATGAGTTCTGATTCTCCATTAGTCATGAAAGCGTAGGTGATATGTTGTTGTGGGAACTGAGGAGAGAAGGTGGAAGAAAATGGTGTTGGAGAATTGCTTCTCAGCTTCCCTGATGTAATTCACCTTATTCATGATGACAAGTGCCCTGCCTTTGTCAGCTTGTTTAATTATGATGTCACTTTTATTCATGAGCCTTGGATGACATCTCATTCTGCCCTGCTGAGATTGTTGCATAAAGTGAGTGTTTTCCTGTTTGTTTTTTTAATTGATGATTGTGGTTTTAGTTGGTTGATGAAAGCAATCATTGTAGAAATCCAATTCATTTTTGGACATCTGTCAGTATCCATGTACTTTGTGTGTGTGTGTGTGTGTGTGTGTGAGAGAGAGAGAGAGAGATCTGTATGTCAGAGTCTGCACACTCATTCCCAAAGTTCAGTAAATCCGCTGGAGACTAAACAGTTCCATCAAAGATTTCTTTATTAGGAGAAGTGCACAGCAGCATAGATTGTTGAGTCTAATTCTACAAGCAAAACTGTTCCCTTTTTAAGTCCCAAGTTTCCCCCTTGCTCCTTTCTTTTCCCGCTTGAAATTCTTCGTGCCTTGCTCCGGTTCTCACAACGCTTGGCCTTGGAGATGCCTGTGTAGAGATAAAGATAACAGCCCCTGGCCTCCTCTCCCCCCTTCAATGGCAGGTCAAGCAAGCGGACTGCAACTAACATTCTTTCTATTAACTCTTTACTAGGCATAATAAAAGTAAATTAAAAGCAATCAAAGGTTATAGCTTGCGTAGATCCTGACACTGTAGCTATATATTGGCTTGGAAGGTATTGGCTTGATAGTAGTTTTTTGTTTTTTGGGGCCTTTTGGCTATACAATAAATATTAATTTAAAAAGTTTTTTGTTTGTGTTTGTGTCCTATCTTCAAAGTATTTCAAGTGTCCAAAAAAAAAAAGAAAAAGTTTCAAAAGACTTGTATATTTTTGTGTGGGTTTAGTAGGGCCATAAAAATGTCTGCCAAAATAATAATAATAATAATAATAATAATAATAATAA